GCAACTACACACACACACACACACACACACACACACACACACACTCTGAAGCTTTGCCTTGAGATCCCACCTCCAAATCCCAGGGCCTCTCTCCACCCTCTCATGAGCTCCCTTCTGTCTGTGACCAGGCACACCCAGCTGGCAGTAGTCTCTGCAGGGAGGTGAGAATTTGAACTGGGGCTGCAGGGCTTCTCAGGCAGGGGCATTATGCTCTGCTGCTCATACCAGATTGGGGGCTCCCCTCTCTCTATCACACTGGCTCACCCTCATCCTTTGGCTGCAGAATCCAATTCCGGGAGACTGGCAGCAAAGGCCCACCCACCTGTGTCCTATCCCCACCAGGGCCCCACAACTTAAGCAGGCCTGGGAAGGCCAAGGGCGTGCCTTCCGAGGCCTGCTTCCCTGGATCTGCCAGCCACGGGGGCCTCAGCACCCATGTCCTGCCTCCTGCACAGGCTGTGCCCATGCCGAGCATAGGTGGGCAGCAGCTCCACAGTCCATGGTGGCCTTGTAAGTCTCTTTGTCCACATTCCTTCCAGAGCACTGGTGGATGAAGGCAGAGGGGAGACATACAAAGGAGTTGAGCTGTTCTTTCTGTTTTCTGAAAGGGTGAACTTGGGCGTAGGTGGGGCCACAAACTTGAAAATGGAGAATTCGTCATTGGCTCTGTGGCTAGATGCATCCCACAGTTTGGGAAGCAGAGACTCCTCATGTGAAGTGGTAGAAATGACTGTTATGAACTTGATCATGACTATGGGGTGGGAAGGGTTTACGCATCCTCCGAACTTAGTCACTAGATGAGTGGGGGGCATGGTCACTGTGAAGTATCTAATCTATGGCAACTCTGTGGGGCTCATGGAACACAATGACACCAGCTGAGATGTGTGAAGAGCTTTTTCATTTGAAGAGGCCTGGGGATTTGGTCACATGGGAGTGAACAGGAGGGGCTGTGGATGTCAGGGTAAGTGTGCTTGGCTTACGGGGTGGGATTTGCCTCTCTGGCTTTCACTGCAAAAATGGGCACAGGATAGAGTCAGCCTGGGACTGACAGAGTCACCTCCACAAACATTCCCTGAAGACCTGCTGCATCCTAGCCCCTGTCTGGCAACGCAGCAGTGAATAAGACAGAAGGCCTGCCCTCCAGGTGCTCCCACCTTGTGGGACACTTTGAGGTTGCATGGAGGATTTAGCAGAGTTGGGGGAGAACAGACACCTTGAAGGGCTACATGGCAGCCAAGAGGACAGGCGGCATGTGCCAGTCAGTGATCAGGTTGCACTGGGAAGGCCTATGGCTCTCTTAAGCATAGAGGAAATTGCTTGTCTGGCTACCGGGGGCTCAAAGAATAGGCAGGAGACTAGGGACAAAGTTTGGAACACGGGTATTCCCCAAGGGATCCTGGCCAGCCAGGCTTTCAAAACCAGAGCAGAGGCCAAGAATAGGAACAGGCTGTCAAACATGTTGTCACTGTGGCCACCTGGCTCCAGGCCTCCAGCCATCCCCTGTCCCAGAGTACCCTGCTCAGATTCAGAGACCCAGAACAAATGTAAGCCACACAGCCCCCTCGTGTCTGCGCATGGGCAGAAAAAGAAGAGCTGGTCCCTGTAGCTTCAGTGGCACGACAGGGCCCCTGCTCTCCACCAAAATTGCAAACACTGAGGGATTCTCCCAATATCTCTAAGAGAACTAGAGGAAGGGCGGTAGCACTCTGGGTAGCCAACCAGATGGCAAGATGCCAACAACACTGGATCTTTAAAAACTGATGGGCCTAGGGCACTAGTCCCAGACTGGTCATATAATGAAAACATGGGATGGAATCATTTGGCAATAGTCCTGTGAAAGGCCACTGGGGAACAGGTGGCACTGGGAGATACAAAGGCTGAGGACCAGGGCCCTACTGTGGCCCAGAAAGAGAGCAAGACAGGGACAGGAGTGGGTCACATGGCTCCAAGTGAGGGCCATTAAAGAAGCCAGGATTGAAGGGCCCTGGGCAGCTCCACTGACACCAGTAGCCCTGGACGCACTAGTCATGGGCTCCCTAACTGCTGGCCACCGTGTAGGAGCTGCAGTGGAGGTGTCTGCTCCTCTGGGTGGTGCATACTCTTTTCTGCAGCTGTCATTAGAAAGCCCCTATAGCACACAGGGTCATTAGCAATCGCAACTCGTGGCTAATAGGAAGTCCAAAGGGGATTAGCTGGAGAACGGTGGGTGTTTCACAGGTGTTTGGGGAAAGCTAGAGAACCAGCCTTGGAAGCTTTGCAAAGAGGAACGAGGGATCAAATCGCACTGCAGTACTAGGCTGGAGAAGGCACCCCTGCGGCTCCCTCCAAGGTGGCACACACACTGTGGCTTGCATCACCAATGCAGGAAGCAGGTGCTGCCATGAGAACCACAGCTGCCACTGCTCCTTGGGAAACAGGTGGCACTGCCCCTGCAGCCACCAGCTCAGCCCGAGCAGAATCTGTGGGACCCCTTCATTCATCCCATCTTGGACCTCAGATTCAGGCGGCCGTGGGTGCATCTGGTTGGTGGAGCCTGGGTCGTGTTTCCTTGCCCTAGATTCGAGGGAAGCTGGGAGAGCCCAGATATGGCATTTTCTAGCCCTTAGCTTGAAACCTGACTCCTTCCTATCCCCAGGGAGCCCCAAATGGCCCCATATTTTGCACACTATTTCCCCAATTTTTGGCACTGCAATGCCAAGCTCCAGCCCTTCTGAGAACCAGGGTATGTGCCATGCCCTTGGCCTTGACTGAAAAAAATTTAAGGGGAGGCCATTAGGCTGAGACAGCTCTAGTGCCTTAGATTCCTGCATAAGCAGTCTGAAGCCCGTCGTAAACAGCAAAACAAAACGTAAGCTTACCTAATGAGAGACCAGCCACTGACCCTACCCAGGGACTATCCACTGGATCACACTCAAGTAAGGCAAACGCCTAGCTGGAGCCAAGCAAGAAATTTTTTACTCTGCTTCCACATAAAGACTATAAAAGCGAGCTGCTCACACTGCTAGAGTAGAGCTCTCTGAAGCTCTTCCAGTTTTGAATCCTGCCCAATTTATGAATCCTTTAATGCTCAGATAAATTGTTAAATTTATTTTGTCTAGTTTTCCTTTGAACAGCCTGCTACTCAGCCTGGCCACAGCCTTCAGCACCCAGCTGGAACGTCACCCCTTCAGAGAGCCCACCCTCCCCGGCCCAGCTCCTGGAGGCCTCTCACTCAGTGCACACCTCACTAGCCTGCTCTTCCCCTTCCCCTCCAGAGCACGCCTCGGTGCGCAGGTGAACGTCGTATGCACGAGTTCGGGGCCATTCTCCCAGGAGCCCCACAAATGTCTACAGATTTCCAGTTGTTCATTAAGTTGTTATTATTCCGTGGTGAGCTTTTCAAGTTTTAAGATATCTCAGATTAGAAAACATTTGGAAGTTTTTTCAAAATCTCTTATCACTCTAACGTGGGCTTTCTCCACCAGGGCTGCTATTGGCCTTTTAGGCAGGAGTGTTCTCTGTTGCATGGCCTGGCCACATGCACTCACAAGTTCAGCAGTCCTAAACGCCAGGCGCCGGATGCCACCAGCATCATCCCCACAGCCAAGGAGACAACCAGCATCACACCCACACGTCTTCAAAAGTCCCAAGGGACAGGACCACCCCACTTTAGGGACCGCTGGAAACTCAAAACATTACAATTCACCTATAAATATAATAAAAGCTTTCTTCATGTCCTCGCATGCTGGTCAAAGTGCCTACCCTCTCGCGGCAGACGTATCTCATGAGAGCTGGGCATGGATGTTTTCCTGCTCACCCACCTCCATCCCAGCCCCGGCCGGCCCAGCCATCAACTGCCCACAGCAGAGGCGAGACTCAGCCTCAACATCCACAGAACTTTATTGATGAGAAACATGTGTTGAACCACTGAGGGGAAGGGACGACATAACAGGGATGAACTCCTAACGGCCACACCCTCCTCCTGGGGTTCCTGTCCAGGTGCCACATCTGCTCCCCACGCTGTGGCCCTCCTGCTACCTTCTCCCACCCTGAGGGCCCCTGGATCTGCCTCTGGCCAGGACGGTGGACTCTGGCAATGTCCACTCACGTAAGGGAACCCCCTCCTGAGCAGATCTGTGGGCCGGGGTCCTGCCCTACAGCCCACACAGGACAGTCACAGGACACTGGAGAACATGGCAGGGAATGTGCCACCGAGCCAAGGAAAACAAGGCACGAATAACAACACGGTGGACATTGGAGCACCGTCCCCGTGGAGCCTGGTGCAGACCCCTCCGTCCCAGGCCCGGTTCTGCCTGCTCGTGGTCATGGGTGAGCGTCGACCACGCCCTCGTCCGTCCTTCCTGCCGTCCATCTGCTGACACTGCACTCGGGGTCTTCGGGAGGAACTGTTCAGATAAGAACACACATCCCCACCAAACAAGCGGCCGATGACTAAATCTACACCGAGATAGCAGAGGTGGAGCAGGCGACACTGGACAAGAGCCAGCAGAGCCTTGGCACGTGCCCGGGCCCAGAGGTGGCTGACCAGGTAGGCCAGGATGTGCCCCGGGGCGGACACGCGCCTCACGGCTTTGCACAGGAACCATGGCTACGGGGTGCGGGGACAGGAGCTCTTGCTTAACACATGAATCACTTTGGGGCCAACACACATAAGGGTTGGCTTCCCAGAACAGGGAGCACCCTGCCCCGGGACCAGGAATGGGGGGACACTCTTGAGAGACCCGGGCAGCTGGCACCCTTGAGATGGCCTCTTTCACCTAACGTCTCCCAGTCCAGTGCAGGTGGCAACT